ATAGGCCTAAGAGAAGGCTCATGGGAGTCGACTATAAAAGCGTGCACACAAAGGAACTGTCTGGCTCAGGCTTTGCTTTGTATCCATGCATGAGATCAAGTCCAAGAAGAGTCATGCCAGTGGAAAAAAATGTAGCCATATCTTCCTGATGGCTGTTCCTCATATCTTGATATATTTCTTCTTGTGTTCTCATTTGTAAACACGTGTGTAGTCATTTCCAGCTGGTGTTCTGGTGCCTGGAGCCAGGCAAGAAGTAGTAATTAAAGAGAAAGGATCTGGATGAAAGACCAGTTGGCCATGTTTTGCACTGGTCCGAGCTCCTAGCTTACTGAGCAAAGGAGCCAGCACAGAGCTCATATACGACTTAAGCCTTTAAAATAGGGGTTAAGTGAGACTTAGGTGGTCCACGGACTTCGTGCTGGCTCTCTGCAAACAAGTGGATTCCAGCCATCACATATATCAAGTTTATTCTGGTTTTTCAAATTCTGGCATTAAACAAACAACAAACTTCAAGAACCAGAGCCCTAATAACCCAAACCTCAGAAGGAACTTAAGTGTTGGAATCTATTAACTAGCACAAAGCCCAAGGAAAGACACTCAAGGAAACCTATTCCCCTTCCCTTGCTTTTATCTGGCCAGACCTTTTTTTCTTAGCTCCGTCTGCAACCTTTCTTGGCTTGTCCAGATAGAATTGAACAGCCCATAGCTTGGTGTGAAGACAGCTAACAAGATACGTGCACCTGTGGAATGAAGGAATTCCACAGGTGCACAAGGAATGAAGCAGCCAGCTGTGCTCATGAGACGGGAGAAGCTGGCAGGCGAACGTACGGCCCACATCTGATGTTGGTAGAGAGACAAATACCACAGCGAGGTGGGGAGCAGGTTTGACTGTGATGGCTAGCTGTACCCTATTTGTTTTGTAGCCTTAGTGTGCCATGAATATACAACTTTGAACTAGAGTATTTTGTCTGTGGCCCTTTAGACCACCCGGATATTAAGCCTGATTCTAATCCCATTTACACCACGGGCGTAACTCCTCAGCCACCCATTAAGAATACATACTGAAGCCAGATGCCAACGTTTTTTTGCCTAGAGGCAAATGCTCATATAGAACACTGCAAAAGCAGACGGCCAGGACCTATGGGGATGGGTCTTCCTCCCCTCCTTCCTAGGTGGAAGCGACTGCACCGTACGCCCTTGCAGGGAAGGGGACCCAATTACGCAGCTCTGCTAAGTCGACAGAAGACATTCTGCACCAGTGCCCGCTTTAGAAATCAGACTGAATGAACGAGGAGACTGAGGGAAACATCTTCTGCTAACTGTTCCCATCCTCACGACAGTATTTGGTATTCACTGGATAACAGTGCTGGGGGGAACAGACGCATTAGATATTCTGTCAGCTCTTCCATGGTATATTGTCACTGCCATTCATCTCTCCTCTAGAATTACAGAACAGACTCGGGGAAAACAGAGCATTAACTAGACTCTTCTCCTTTTGTTTCTTGGCAGATTCCAAGACTTTTTTTTTTTTGTTTTGCTAATGAGTATTTTTTTGCTCTTTGAGGTTGAAAAAGACCCTTGCCATGACTTCAACCACAACATCAAGCTACAGGCAGAGTCTATCGTTAGTGCTGTTTTTATTTTTAGGTGAACTTTTGGCACTCATCGAGTTTGCCCATAATAGCACACTTCTGAGCCAATGGCCATCTTCCCCATGCGCACTACCTCTCCCCTGACCTGGAATGCAACTCTGCGCGGCTCCAGAGAGGGTCCTGTACACTACGCTATCAATGCACCTCAGGGAAGACATCTAGAAGGGGCCCAGCTCTGCCTTCCCCGAACTCGAACGTTTTGTCAATGGGACGAAGCTCTCCACCCTGTCTCCACCACTTAGCGGAGACCGCCAGCTGTGCACTGCTGTGTAGAAGTAGGAGGTCAGCGTGGAGAAATGGCCATACTTGACTAAGATGAGAACAGCGGTGACCGAAGCCAGGTTTGGACTGGAGACGGGCCAAGAGATTCAGATTAGGCCAAATCTTCATCCAAGCCCAATGTCTGTAGGTTCATAATAGTTCAAAGAGAAATAATCCCCCTGTCCCTCCCTGGCTACCTCCCTGTCTTCAGCCCCTGACTTAACTATGGCTCCTTCTCTCGTAGCCCCCTTCTTTCTTGCTAGTGAGGGGATGAGTCAGACCTCCTGTTGGGAAGCTCTCCCTTAGGTTATCCTGGGTGCCCCTAAACACCCAACCTGGTGCTGTAGCTGTCTGGGACCCCCATCCCCATCCCAGAAGTACCCGTGACTTTGTTAAATAGCAACACACTCAACAACATTGCAGAAGTACGCTCAACTAATCTAAAAATACCTCTGTTGTGCAGCCATTCACAGTACTGGCACAGGGCCAAGTTCCGCTTGCCTCACTCACACATGGGCTGCTGAAATCGACGGGGTGTGAGTAAGGTGACAAAGCAGAACCTGCCTGCTTGTCCCTGGTGCCAAACGTGTTTAAGCATGCACAGGCTATGTCTGTCACCCGCTCGCGGCTGCAGCGTACTGAGGCTGTATGTCTTAATTACAGCACGTCATGCAGACTCTACTATAGCTTATGCGTCAGGAGACTGGGTTTTTAAGGTTCAGAACCAAGGGTTCTATCCTAATTCTGACTGAATGCGTTGTCTGCCTGTCACAGGGTGGGGTAACTCTAAGGGGCGCTGGGCCCAGCATACCGATCAGCTATGTCCCAGCCGAGACCGCTCAAGCTCAGTGGTTTGAGCATTGGCCTGCTAAACCCAAGGTTGTGAGTTCAATCCTTGAGGGGGCCGCTTAGGGAACTAGGGTAAAAATCTGTCTGGGGATTGGTCCTGCTTTGAGCAGGGGGTTAGACTAGATGACCTCCTGAGGTCTCTTCCAATCCTGATAGTCTATGATTATAAAAGCCAAAAACACAGCTCTGTTGAGGGAGGAGAAAGTTTGGCCTGGAGCAGGATGAAAGGCTCTGGGCCCCTGCAGAAGACCATGGGTGAGAGGGACAGACAAGGCTTATATGTGGAACTTATGTTGAACTATTTTATTGTGTCTGAAGAGTAAACTGTGCCCTAAAGGAAGAGTTTGAAAAGACTGGGCATGACACTGAGTATTTCCTGGTCTAGTGAGGGAGTCCATCAGGCTACACTGTAGTCTGTGGCAACAGATTTGATCTTTACGTGCAGGCCAAACAAGAGAAACAGGCTGGATTTTAATGCACTGCGTTAGGAGATTACTACTTTTCCTCTTCTGCTCCATTCAGGAAAAGTCCCTCTATAAGCCTAACAGTCGAAAATTAAAGTACTGCTTACAGTTCTTCAATGGAAAAAAAAAAACCATTTCCTAATGATATTCATTTTTCCCTTCCTCCTAAAAGCTTTCAGCCTGGAAATGCAGTGATTTATTTACTCCGGCCTATGAAATCAGATTCCTGCCGAGGGACTGTTCTAATTCCAGCAGCTTGAGTCTGGCTGCTACAGTAGTTAGGTTCTAGTGACCTCATTTCAGGCCTTCAGAGAAACAAAAGCAAGCTGCGGTACTCCAAATCCTCCACTAGGTGTCAGGCCTAAATTAACTCTACAGACACTGCCAGCTGCATTGTGTATGCAGAAGCAGGAGTTTGTTTCAGCACAGCAACTGCACATGTTACTTCTTTGCTGTTTAATTTCCTCCTACTGGGAGAAAAATAGCATTTAACTGTGGCTGCGTGATTCAGAGGCAAAGAAAACGAAGCAGAAATGAAAATATATTTGCATGGTGGCCGTTTGGGAGCCTCAATTTCAGGCGGCCCTAATCAGAAACCGGGGGCCTGATTTTCAGAGGTGCCGACCACCTAGAGACATCCTGAATCTCAGCTGGCATTGTGGGTGCTCAGCGCTTTCTGAAAATGAGGCTGTAGGTGTCACATGTTGGACACCAAAATCCAGGAGCCTTGAAAACGCAAATAAAATGTATTGGGGGCTGGAGAGTATTTTGCCCATCAACGAATTTAATAAAAATAAAATAATAATAATAATAATAATAAAGGAAACCACCTAACAATCCCATTGACAGAGAATGCAGGTCAGTTGCTCGTGCCTGTCAGTAAGGCAGAAGCTCCTCCTAATAGAAAGACACAGTATTGTAGGAGAAGGATCTTCATATTGGAGGTAAATTTGAAAGAAAACAAAACCACTATACAAGAAGGAAAGCACATTCCTGTTATAGGCTACAAAGTGAAATCCACTGAACCCATGGAGCTCCTGTGAGAAAGAAACACCATCCATTGCAGGAGTGGTGGATATTTTTTGCTACTAACAGGTGGATTGTTTAATTAAGGCTCCAGGTCTGAACTTAATTCATACTTTTCCTGTGCTAGAAGACTTTTGTGTGTTTGAATGAAAGTTTTTCACACCAACAGTCAGCTCCTGCATCTTCTGAATCCTGCAGTGAAACCTTAATTCTGTATTTATAGCACTGCAAAACTTTCTGAGATGGCAGAGCCTGCCATAATGCAGAAAACATTGCCCGCCGTCTAATATCGCAGACAGGCTGCACTTGCCTACTGAATAACTCTCAGACACATGCCTCGTTTGCCCTCCGATTATTACTGAGACACAGCGTAATTACCTGTCACATAGGACTAAAGGATGTGGAGAGATGTCAAAGGGGTTTCTTTACACTAAGATTTTTTGTAAAATCTTGAGTTAATTGGTTGCCAAGTAACTTGAGGTCATTGACACATTTGTAAAGGCTAGTGTGGACACTCCCCGAATGTTTGTTCCAGGTTCAAACATCTGTCCTTTACCCCAGGCCGAGTTCTGCTAGGCTTACAACTTCTCCCCATTTCGAGGCAGAAGGGCTAAAGGGCAAGAGGGGTTGTTATCAAGTACCACTAAGACCAGTTATGTTTTACACCCCAGGTCACAGTTTAAAGCTCCACAGTGCACAGCAAGAATGAACGACGGCCAGCCAAAGAATGTAAATCCATTATACTTACTCTCTCGCCGGGGTCACCCAGTGGACCCACGGGCCCAGAAGTTCCCGGAGGTCCTGGAAGACCCTAGTATGGAAAAGACGGGACAAAAAATTAGGTAACAAAGGAAAACGTGCTGTTATTTGTGTGCGCATGCGTGCACAAAGGAAAGAAACGGAACTGGAGCTGCCTGTTTATTTTAGCAGAGTAAAAGTGACCCTGAACTGCTCTGATATCCAGGTATGGCATATGGAAGCAATAGAGCCCAGAGAAGTGTTAACAAAAAATTGACTTACAGCTGGGCCTTCGGGACCGGATGGCCCTTCGATGAGCATGCCCTGGAAAACAATAAGAGAGATTGGTGATTAGCATGGCATGTCCCCAACGCGACCTCCGTAGTGGAGCTCAAAAGTCAAGCCGTCACGTCTGTTCTGAGCTCATCCAGTCTTTTGCTGCTCACAAGCCCAACAGGTGTTAGCGCATCCCGGTGCTGAGCTGGTTCCACGTTGTTTCAGCGGAGTCTGGGTCCATTGCCACTGGCACACTACATCCTGTGCACTGAAAAGCAAAACTGTCAACCAGTTCAGCCCAGGCTGGGCGTGAATAAAAGTCTTGCCCCTAACCACCATCCCAGAATCACACCGGGTGAGAGCGGAATCCTCTCTTATCTTAGTCCAAGGTCAAGCAAATGAAAAGCCTCGCACCGCGTCTTGAATGCCAGCAAAACCAAGCTCTGCTGGAGTGAGTATTGCAGCCGACGATCCCTTCGCTCGGAATGCTGTCTCTAGTTCCAATCAAATTCTAAGGCATTTCCAGTGGTCTTTAAATGTCTTTCCCTAGCAGGCTTTATGCAGAGATTTACTAAGTGAACCTATAAGATCATTGTGTGGGTACCATGCCAGGGTAATGTTATCTCATTGTTTAAAAAATTCAATATTTTGCTCTTCCTTTAAATCATGGGTATGGTGTACTCAGTGGAGTTGGGTTTTTTTTAAATGGGTGGGGGGGGGGATTGAGGGAAGACCAGAAAGAAACTTTCCAATAAAACAGTCAGAGGCCTATAGGGAAAGGACCAGGAACACAGGTTTGGAAGTATCCATGGATCAAGCTCTACCCTTCCATCGATGGACCACTGACCAAGTTCAACGTAATCCAACAAGGTGTCCATATTCCAAGCAGCCCGTTTCACCTCTCGCCGGCTAATTTGTAGCCAGCAGAGTCATTTCTCCTACAGGATGAAATCAGCCCATAAAAGTCAGCAAATGTCAAATTGACTCCGTCAGGAGAAGCCTGGGAAGGAGCCAGCCCAGCGATCGAGTTACACTTCCCCCTCGGAGGAGGGTGGTCTCCCCAGGTCAGGGTTGAAGCTAAGGCCAGTCGGTGGAGCAGAGCCGGTGAAAGTGTGGGCTGACGTCAGCGCAGCTGCCTACGTCCTGCGTAGTGGAAAGCGCTGAGCGGAGTGAAGCTGAAGCAGTCAGGGTACATGCAGCAAACACCTGCACTTCTTCAGACCCCCCCAGGAGAGAAAACAGATCACACTATATTGCCAAATACCATGACAGCTCCCCCAGCGGGATATGGGCACGTACACATACCCTCTGCAGCCATATCCCTTGGCTAGCACAAGGATTTTTTATATTACTGCTACTCATTTCTAGCTGATTTAAGTGCTGGTTTGTGGATTGTTTGGATATATGGGGGGCCAATTCTCTGTTGATTTAATAGGGGAAACTCCAGTGAAATCAATGCAGTCATGCGGATTTACATTAGTGGAGAATTTGGTTCATGGATCTTATCCACACAGTTTAACACCATCGTTCCACTGACTGCAGTAGAGTTAATCCCGATTTACATGGGTGTGAGAAGAGACTTATGCATGGCACTCATTTGTCCTGAGTTAGGACAGTGAGATTTTCCCCCTGGATGGAAGGATAAGTGCGGGGAGGGAGGGAGAATAGCTGAGCTGTATGAAACTGATTAGCACAGCTGCAGAATCTGGAGGACATGTTGCCGCAGGCTTTTCAAGAGATGTGCCCATGCGTTTCATGGCAACGGGTGAGGTGCAGAAAAATAGAACAGAGGTTAAATACTGGGACAAGGCTGGTCACCCTAAGAGTAGCTTGGGCAATGGGATGACCTGCCGAGGGATGGAAGGAGGTGGAAGGAGAAAATAGCCCCGGTACCCAGGATGAGTGAGCAGGGTGCAAACCTACCAAGACCACACATTCCTTGCTCACTCTTTTCTGGTGTTCAAGGAGGTGGGAGCTGTTCCTTGCCTCTGATCTGTCCTGGGTGAAGCAATGCAGGTTTGAAACACTCAGTGTGACAAGCGGAAGCAAGCGGCTTTGGTGGTGGAATTTGGACTGATGAACAATTTATACGGAAGCAGTATTACTGCTAACAAGGGCTGAATCCGGATGTGCTGGGAGAATAGAGGCCTTAGGAAATCTCTTCCTTTCTGGACAAGGAGCATAGGACGGAGTATGAGCTCTTTACCTGGAGCTCTGAAGAGATGCTTTGAGTGTGACCTGGCTTCCATTCAGTGCACCTGAGCCTCAAGGGGACATGGTCTACAGGCTAAAGGGTATATCTGCCTAGCGCGCAGAGATGTCACCAGCATGATCTAGCGCTGCACTCTCTCTGTTTTCCCTTAGTTCAGATGAACCGGGGGCAATAAGTTAAGTGAGTAGGAGGAAGATGGAACGCGCCCAGCATACGGGCCCTCATTGAGCCAATCTCTTCACGTTGCCCCAACCAAAGCTCCCCAGTCCTGACCTGAGCAGGGAGAGGACAGTTCGGTCTTTATGGCCCATGTTGCTACTGGCCACTCTCTGCGGAGACTGCTGACAAGGGACCAGTTAGGGTGGAGATTTAAGATTCTCTGCTCTCGGGGAACGATGGGCAGAAAACGCTGGTTAGTTTTGCGAAGAAGGGAAGGGTGGTTGTAAGTTATAAAACAAAAACCTTGCAAAGCGGTGGGCTCATAGGAGCCCCTAACTGCCCCCTTCCTCCCAGGGTCCATTTCCTTTGAGAAACTGGACCAACTAAAGCACCACCCATCTGCCTGTGTGGCAGCTCCAGAGACTAGAACCATCCCCAGACCTCCACCTCCGCTCAGTGCTGATAAACTCCCCTCAGCTCCGCAGAGAGTCATTGCCCATATAAGGAGCCCCATGACCGTCAAGAGCTGCCGGGTGCCAGATTTATGTGGGAAATACTTGAAGCTGTCTCCTCAATGGCCATGGCGCCGAGAGCTCTGCTTCCCACAGCCAATCACCGCGGCAATGGAGGCCCCTTCAGAGAGGAAGGCCTAATTAACCTATTCCTGATACAGACAGCCTGGGCATCCTCCCACATTTATCCGTTTGTTTATGTTGGGCTCCGGCTGTGGGGACATCTGGAAAGTCTCCTCAGCGAGAAATTCCAACGGTTTCCATTATCCGTGCAACGCGACAAGGCAGGGGAGCAGGAGACAGGCTGTGTGACAGGAGGGGGCAGGGAGGGACATGCAGGGGAAGAGGAGGGGGCGTGGGATGGAATAAAAACTCTGGCTTGTGGAGCGAGAGCCACAGATTTGGGAACCCCATTCTGCTCTGACTGAATCCAGTGCCAAAGCTCCTGTTGGCTTCCGCGGGGGCAGGGTTCGGCCCCATGGCCTGGCTTCATAAGATGGCAAAATGCTGTGAGAAAGTTGTTCCTAATTTGTTTTCACCCAACTGCATGAAGTCATTCCTGTCTATGTCTCAACTCCCTCCTCATCTCAAAGCCTCCCTTCTTTCCCCACTCCCTTCTCAGCACCCTTCCATTACTAGAAGATGAAGGGTATCGCTAGCAGCTTTCCAATTTTGCATCCGTGCCAACAGCCATCCCTTCTGGGCAGTCTCATAGCAAAGGAATTTGCAATGCCATTCGTAAAGGGACAGACACGGGGAGCTCCTCAAGTTAATCCGAAGGGATAAAAATAAAACAATGCTGTTTTAATTTATTCGCTTCCATCTGAAGAGCCCAAGCATTTTAATAAAGATATTATAATTTCTGCCTGTTTTATAGAGCGGGGAAGGGAAAGTTCAGATGTCATCCTAAGTCTCAACATTTACCATCAGTTACCATAATGTGGCATCTTAGGCCTCGTTTTCACTAGAAAACTAGGTGGGTTTAACTACGTTGGTTGGGGTGTGAAAAATTCACCCCCTTGGTGTGGCGTTGTTAAACCAACTAAAGTCCCCATGCAGACAGCGGCTAAGTCGACAGGGCGATGGAGACCTATGGAGATGGGCGAACCCCTCCCGTCGGCGGAGGGAGTGTCTGCACTGCAGCGCTACAATGGCGCAGCTGTGCCGCGGGTGTTTTAAGTGTAGACATGCCCTTAGTCACGGCTCAGAGAGGAAGAGAGACTTGCCCAAGGTGACAGAGCGAGTCGCTCTTGTGTTTGGCTTTGCTCTAAAGCTGTACAACAATGGAGAACAGAATCCAGGAGTCCTGACTCCCAGATCCCTGCTCTCACGCATCTCCTGGAGACCTTGAGTGTTAATGCTGCCTTTGCCAGCACAGAAACTATTAGCTGGAGGGCACCATTAGACTCAAGACTGTGCTGTCCTGCTGCCTCCAGCAAGCGTCAGCACCGAGTAAGGATTGAAAGACAGATGGACTGAAAGAAAGGACGGAAAGTACAGAGGAATCCTCCCCCCCCCCCCCCCCCCCCCCCACACCAGCAGCTCCCATCTGAAGAAAGTGCCTTTGCTAAAGAGAAAGAGCACAATGAATCTGCATTTCTCTCAGCTAAAGGGGAACCAAAGGAAGAGAGGAAAGGCAGCATTTGGTCTTGTTTATTTTCTGGCAATGGCAATATATGCTCCAGTGTTTTGAAACAGCTAAGGCAGCCAAATTCTTTCTGGATGATTACACTTAACTATTTTGTTCGCTCTGCAACATTTCAGATTGGACGGGGCAGCCTGAGTTTAAGCAGGTTCCCCCCCTCCCGCCCCCGTATTTTAACAGAGCTTTCCACACCTCAGTTAGACAAACTGTCCATTTTGTTCCCTTTGTCCACAGAATGAAAGCAGGGCCCATGTCCACAGAATGAAAGCAGGGCCCAGAAAGGAAGGAATTGATTTGGAGGGTCGGGAATGCTTTTTATAAGCACTGGTTCTGGGTGTCAAACCCTCCCCCCTACCCTCTGGGAAAGGCTCACGCAGGAGAGAAACGGAGAAAGGGCAGAAAAAAACTGACTCCAAGAGGTAGGAAGTGTTGTTCTTTCTTCTGGCCCTGTGTTGGCATTCTGCCAATGAAAAATTAGGTTAATTGAGTTACTGGTCTGCAACGAGTGTGTGCTTGGCCTTTCGGAGACTCAGGCACAAGATGAACGGTGGCAATTGAAAGGCTCCGAATACCTGTGGGTCTCTCCTGGGGGTGAGGAGAGGGATGCAAACACGGAGGCAAGTTGAGATCTTAAAGTGTACTTATGGATGGAAAAGGGGCTATGTAATAATAGTTCCGTTCCCTGTGAACCTTTCAATCAGAGCTCACAACAACCAGTTGTTCCTCCAGTTAATCCCACCAAGGCAAGACACCCTGTGGGTGGGGCAACTGAATTCCTGTCCGTTTCATGTGACATCAGTTAAATTGTCAGCTAAACTCTGATCACACAGGGACTAGATTTTCAAAAGGCGTTGAGCACGGACATCTCTTCTTAAAGCCAAGTGAAGCTGCAGGTTCTCAGAAGCTCGGAAAATAAGGCCAAGAGACTTTATCAATGGTGATGCTGTAAAAACCGAAAGAACCCAGCTTGAGTCTCAGATCCCAATAGGGTAGCTGGAAAATTCCTTTGACTGATAAAGTGAGTGCAATTGATTTTACAACTGCACTTTAAAACCAAAAAGTGCCTCAGAGGTGGGCCTGAGAAACCCTTGCTCTCAGTGCAGGCAAAACAGAGAAGTAGAGAGTGTAGGATTCTGGTTCTTGAACAATCATACAAGAGCAGTTTCAAGGCCCTTAACAACATGGAGGCCTAAAGGAGAGAATGGACGTTGAAGAGGAAAAAAATCATTCTCGGCATCCACAGCTGTGTGCTGGGAGAACCCTTTCCTTGCCACAGAGGTGCGCTCCTCAATTCTAAAATTAAGAAGTGGGCCTGAGCTGTGACGTTCAGATCTGGATCTAAGCTCTCCCAGACTGCAGGGATTCAGATGGGAGGGCTGTAATTCAAACCGAGGACTAAGTAAAAGCCATTGGAGTCCTAAGACAGGCTCTTGCCATTTCACTTGTTTTTTACATAACACTGGTAAAAAAAAAAAAAAAAATTGGCCAAAGAATTATTACAAACAAAAATAGCTTTTTTGGGTGGAGGAGGGGAGAAAAGGAGCAAATGGAAAATTTTAAATTTCTTTCCAAATTATCCCTGTTTCTTAAAATAAACCCCCCAAAAATCATTTTCAATTTTTATTTTAAAAAAATCCAGAAAATGTCTACCAGAATTTTTTTTTTCATAATATGAAAAATTTTCAATTTCGTTTGAAATTATTTCCTGGAAAATTCTGACCATTCCCCTACGAGCTGCAGCTGTGAGCATGAGACGTGACTACAGAACATACGAACCTATGACTGCTTTTCAGTTCCATAGACGAGGTCGGGGAGGTAATATCTTTTATTGGACCAACTTCTGATGGTGAAAGAGAGACGCTTTCGAGCGACACAGAACTCTTTTTCAGTATCATACAATTCCATATACACCTGCCCACTCCCTGAAGAAGAAATCTTTGTAGATGAAGGGCATCCTTACCGGTTCAATTATTGCAGGCTCTCCCTTCTGTCCTTTCTCACCTCGTGGGCCACCAATCTGTATCACACAAGAGAAACACAGAGGATATAAACTTGCTGTCTCACTTGGATTCAGACTGGGAACCAGTAACATGATCAAGACGCAGTCAGCAGAGCCCACACCACCCAGGGACTGAACTTGGTGCAGATGGGTGCAGAAGACACATATTAAAAAAGGAGCAAAGACTCATTTTCTTACTATCTAAGGTTCTGTTCCATCTCTCTAGTGCACAGCGGTTTCAGAAGTCAGCTATTTTTAAGGAATTATTGCCTCCATATGCAGCAGGATAAATGAAGGTGACCTAATCGCTGGCAACTTTTCAATCAAGTTTTGATCTTTTTTTTTTTTAAATAAAATGCTCTAGTTCAAACAGGAATTATTTGGGGGAAGTTCTATGGCCCGTGTTACGGTAGAGGTCAGATTAGATGATCACAATGGTCCCTTCTGGCTTTGGAATCTACAAGTTTGTCTACACAGAAACACTCAGGAAAATTAATCCAAATTATCTTTTGAAGTGGATTAGTTAAATCACATTACATTTCCATGTGGACACACTTTTTCAGAATTTAAGTGGCCTTAATTTGGTTTTGCTTCATTTATTTTGGAAGTGAATTAAACTAAACAGAAGCAAGGCACTTTAATTCTGAATGACCGCATCCACACCGGGGGTAAATGCAGTTTAAATTTATTTAAAATTCATACCTTTAGTTAATTCATATTAATTTTTCTCAGTGCTCCCATGTAGACAAGAACGAGGAATCTAATGGGCCTTTTCCTTTTATAACTCCTACATATTACCTGGGGGAAGTGAAAGGGATTGAGGAAGTAGGTTGAGGTTTCCTGCCCCTCCAAAAGCTGAAAAACTGGGCTAAGAAAGCAGCTGGAAAGAAATTCAAAAAGGGATCTTGAGTCAGAAAGTCTTCCATTACCCCTTCATACTCTGTTTCTTGGTTAGCAGGCATTCCTGGCCCAATATCAGGAGAGGCAGTTCGGTCATAGTAGGTATCATAGTAATTCCCATCATACTCTTTTATTGTTTCTTCAGTAAAGTCTTTATCTTGGTCGTCTCCCCCTTGACCTGTTTCCACCTCGGCCTGAAAACAAGAACAGCAGCATGTGTCAGACAAAAGACGCCCCTAACCCAACACATGCTCTAAAAACTAAGGGGAGGAGTCTGGTGTATCCCCCAGATAGAGAGGAGCAGGGGTGGATAAGCTTTATGATAATGGCACAAGTAAATACAAATACAAAGCAATAATAAAAGAATGTTTAGTAAAGAAGCATCTAAAGGCTTCCAGGGACCACCAATGGACTCCTTCAAAGGGACTTGCAAACAGGATTACAGATATAAAATGCTACACCCATATGGAACTCAATATGACATTTCCCCCTGATTTCCTACTTGCTTCATGAAATGTATTGCATGTGTAAAACACCCTGTGTGAGAAACCACGCAGAGTATGGGCAATAACACATGACAAAAAGTTCCAGACACTCCACATTACGAGGCATGAGGCTAAATGCTCAAACCCCAGCTCATTCCAAACCCCAGATAGCCCAATCTCCAGGTTAACAAGCATAGAGAAATTTACAGCTGGGCCCATATCTAAAATTCATACTGAAACTGAAATTTATCATTATGAATCCCAGATTTTACAAAGACCCTCCCAAATTTTTGGAAAAATCAAGGTTTCCCTATACTAGGATCTTCCATTTGTTCACTCCCGAACTGTTCTGGGATCCAACATTACAGTTATGCTTGTTCCAAAAGCAGAACTTTGAACATTTGCACTTAGGCATCTGAGAGGGTACTATTCATTCATTAGCACACATTTCTCCCTACCCAAATAACTCCCTCTTCTGATTCTTAAGAGGAAATATACGCAATGGTTCAGCAAACGAGGACATCTAGACAAAGCCTCAGAATTTCCTTGCTTCTGGCCAACCCTGTGTGCAACAATGATATCATAGTCCTGTAATTTCGGTAACCTCCAGGCCAACTGTCCCATGGCATTCTGGAATCTAAAGAGCATTGTAAAGAAGCATGTCTGTTCTGAGCACAGGTTTTTCTCCCATGCAGGTTATAATGAACATGGACCATGGCCTTAATTACTTCTAACAGTTCAGAGAGAAGTTATTTCACCACCAGAAAGGAAGGATTTAGAGCTGCTGTAATATGCCACCATCAGTTCCAATCCTTGTTCTTGGGCCAAAACTGCTCATATTCCATAAGCACGGGCATCTGTGTCTAATCTGAAAGGGGTTTTAAAACATGGGCAAGCTAACACTAACACAGTGAAGTGCCTTTTTTAACTCTGCAAAGGCCAAGTATTTGTCAATGAAATCACAATTTAGCTACCACTCTCGGGTTTTCTTTTCTCACTTAACATATGCACATTCTGCTATGTTGGCAAACCCAGAAATGAAAACAGAGTCCTAGAAAATTCTATATATCTGTGAGCCAGAAGGAATTTAGCCACTTCTGCACCACCTCTTGCCCTCCTTCACCCAGTGGAAATTTCTTTCTCACTGATCAGCCGACCAGGGCATTCTCTTAGCAAGAGCTCACATTTCCCTAGATTCAGTTTAACCGTAATTCTTCAGACATTAGAACCTGTTGCTTGCCATAAACACATAACATCCTAACTGGAAGACCTTCTTGTTTGAAATTTAAAATGCTATAAACTCAAAACACTGAAGTCTTCATATTTTTTTCCATTTTTAAAAAACAGAAATCAATTTGCTTGAAAAAGAAGCAACATTTTTTGAAATTTTTGACAGAGGAGGGGTTCAGTGTGAAAAATGGACATTTTGGGAAATTTTGAGGGGGGAAAAAAAAACCTCAAAAAATCTGGGTCACAAGCTGGCCTGAAAAAAATCATCCAAAAGTTAGTGAATTTCTTTTGCCACTTTCAAAGAGCCTCATTCAAACCAGATTTTCCACCACTCCCTTTGTTGAAAAATTATGCAGATACGAATTTGAAATTGTGACACCTGCCTCCGGAGGAAGAGAACAGCTTGCTCCCTGAAGAGCAGTCATTGAACAAAGCATATTTTTACCTAGTTTCCATCTTTCACAGGCGTATTTCTCCATACTCAATGTTCAGAATTGCTTTGCTGGAAGTCATCACGTAGTTATTAGCCACAATGAAATCTAAACCCATATGAGTTCATTGACTAAATCCGCTTCCAAAAGCCCATGCTCAGACTCCAAAAGTTTCATTCTTATAAACCCAAGTTACCCCATTTGTGAACTGCTGCTAGTTCTCCAATCAGTTTCCATCTGAGTCCAATTTTAGAATACCTATCCCCCAGCATTAACAACAGGCCTGGTCTAATGTTCACAGCACACGTTTCCTGATCTTATTAAAGGGCTGTGACAGGAATTTAGGAATTGCCTTACTGGATTCAGACCAGTATCTCGTTTCCAACAGGGACCAGTACCATCTGCCTCAGGAAAAGAAACTTCCAGTAGATTGTGGGATTTATTGGCCACTCTCCCCAACTCCCATATTATTTCAACTTTTTACTTCTGTATTCAACAGCCGGCAAACTGCCCTTTTCTGCTGTTGAAGGGTCGAATCCACAGTAAACAAAAACTGTGCAGCTACTCCATGTTTTGCCCCTTGGGCTGAGTGCCATTCTGTTTCTTGAACTGGATGAAGAGTGATCATTACATCACGAGTCATGGCAAGGCTGGACTGAATGTCTGACAATTCGTTCACAGGATCAGGGCTTGCGAGACGTGTCTCCCCTAGTCTTTGTGCTGCTGCTGACATTCTGTGTGTCAAACTGAGCATGATGTGTTTTCAAACCTCTCAACTGTTCCTTGTCTCCAACCTGAATCCCATTTCTCGTCACGAAAATTAGACACAGATTTAGGCTTCAAGATTGCAGGGTCCCATTTCCACTTCTCCCATGAGCACTGCAAGGGAAATTCGAATCCTTCAAAGTCCCTTCATCTATTGTGGGCTCCTCTCCTGTCTTGCTACAGCTGCTTGGATCTCCATTTGGCCAGCTTCCATGACACCTTTTAATTCATTCTGGGAAGCATCTATGCCCAACTTTAATTCTCTTGGCCAGCCTTTGCTGCCTCTTTGACATCTTTCTCTGCTTCCCAGAGAGGTGTATTTTTTTTTGTCAGTATGACAATTAAATTCTCCCTCTCTATTCAAGAAGCAACCAAAATTTCTGCCAGGTCTCCTGGGAAATATTATCCCACTACTGACATTTGTTGTCAAGGCTTCTGGGCAGAGAAGAAGTCCAGAAGAGGGTTATTTTCTGGTTGGGAGAGAAATTTAGTAGGCACAGACATGACACTTCTAGTCTAATTTGATGACAACACCAATAGGGACCCATCTGAACATCAATATTAGATGGTGAGGGCAGGACACATGTTAAATATGGAACATTCACAGATGCAATCAGGAAACAACCCAAAAAGCTCCAGAAAGCAGCTGTGTTCAAGCTTACAGCCAACCTTTCTTGTACCTGCCTCTGCCCATTTGGGCAAAACGTGACAGATGGACCCCTCTGAGATAATAGGAGCCATGAAATGAGACATCACAAAACTGATTGTCTACATTACCTAAGTGTCTATCAAGGCCTGTCCAGTAACTCAGGTAGTTATTGCTAGAACGGGTCAGGACGAAAAGGAAACGATTTTGGAAAAAAATTATATTACCCTTCAAAATTTGAAATTTTTAAGATTCAAATATTTCAAACGGTGACACAGCTAGCTGCAGACCAGAGAGGGATTTTTTTTTTAATTTAATTTCAAATTTTTCAAATTTCTACCAGCTTTAGATAGTTGTCATTGGGTTGCTCTGCAGCACAGTTTTGTTGGTTTTGTTGAACTTCTGGAATGGCAGTTTCCCACCATATCTCAGTTAATTTATTTTGGGGAATGTGGTAAGAATTTCCCCATGCCTGTATATTTAACAGAAACTGTCCAAAAAATGGTGACAATTTTTCACAAAGAACAAATGGGCTGAAACTGTAGAATTTGGGAGAGGAAGGGGAATAGACCTGCTTGAATATTAACTAACTTGTAGGGAGTGTAATACATTTAATCCAAAACAGAAAGAGAGAGGGTCACCAGAAAATGTAATCACTTCACAGTATGTTTATTGTGGAAGCTTGAATCTCACCTTACTATTAGTAGAGCGGTTAGGAAAATGTAACATTCATAACCATGAGAAATTCTGACATTTCAAAATGAGCTTCCATTCCAAATGGGAAGAAAAATTTGAAATACTGAAAAATTTCACAGAATTGAACTGGAAATGTCCAAATTTGACATTTTCTATCAAATCAACAATTTTTTTTAAAATTTAACTGACAATTCTGACTTGAAACAATTTTTTTGTTTTGATTCTCCTGACTGGAAATAAAAAAAAAATTAGTCAAAACCAACATTTTCCTGAACAAAACATTGATTTTGACTAAACCCAGATTTTCTGACGGGAAAACTTTTTTCATAAGAAAAATTTTAACCAGTTCTATGTAGCAGTGCTGTGTTCACACAGGGAAAATGCAGGAGGATTATATTTTTCAGGGAGGCCCTTTTCTCTACAAATGCCTTGGACACTTCAAGTTTTTCCATTAGATCCTTTGCAATCAAGACTTAAAAGTAACAAAGAAAAGGACAAATCATAGACTCCTTGGAGGAAATTACATTGGTTACGTTGGGGGTGATGACTGTGCTGGCGGGGACTTCTGCTTCGACAGCATCTTCAGTAAGGGTATCCTGAGTGTCTATAATATCCTCATAGTTGAGGTCCTCGTAAGGGAGGGGAGTGTAGTACTCCTCGTTAATGGTTTCATAATTATATTCATCCACGATGGGGTCATCAACCTTCTCATCCTCTTTTGTCTCCTCCCTGTTTTCCACCACTGTAGGTGCTTGTGTGGTTGGAGAGGTGAGCTCCTATTGCAAAACACAAACAATGCCCGGGTTAGAGAAAGTAGAGGATGTTCTGGCTCTCTTATCGGCTAAGACATGGGTTTGAAAATTCTTTTCCTGTCTAAAACAAGAAGGCTCTTTAAAACCAAGGAGGCAGCTAATTGATAGCACAGTGAAAAGCTGTAAAGACTCAGAACTACGCTTTCAGCAGTGACTACTCATTTTGGGTGCCTACTGTGAGACCTACAGGCCTGATTTTCAGGTGTTCAGAGAAACTGATGGCAATAGGACCTGGGGGTGCTGAGCAGCTCTAAAAATCCAGCCCAAGTGGTCTCAGGCTGGGTGCCCTAAAGCCAATGGACACTTCTGAAAATTTAGGCCTTGAGATTCAGGGATTCAAAATGCACAATAGAAAAAGCTCTGAAGGCAAAAGCAACTACCATTGTGGAAATGATGTAGGGTTTGCCTACACTGTAAGTGAAGGTGTGATTGTAGCATGGGGTGACAATCATTCTAGCTTTAATCCAGCTAGCCTGGGTTAAAATACTAGTGTAGATGTGGCACTACAGGCTAGCAATCAGAGGACAAGCCCACCGGGGACCCTGGGTATGTATTCTGCTGAACTCGTGATGCCATGTCTACACTAGAATTGTTAGCTGTGCTAGACAGATTAAAGTTAGCACGGCTATGCCGACCTGTGCTACAATCACATGTTCACTTGCAGCGTAGACACATCCTTAGTGCACAAAGTTAATCTTCCATGTAGACATATATGCAAGATCTTGCTTCAAGTATATTTTCAGGTGCAGATCATGGCTAATCATGCTCTGATTGCAAGATCACAGCCCCCGTTCTTCTAGCTCTGCTGAAGAGACTAGGTGCCAGAAACCACCAAGCTTGTTACCCATCCTCGTTCAGCCCAACGTACAGGCATCACATTACTATGGAAACCTCACACTGCATGCACAAAGCACAAATGCAGAGCTATCTACAGTAGTTTCTTCCATTTTAAGTCTCCAGCCTTTCATCCACATGCCATTGATGTGTCTATAAAAATTCGGAATGGCAAGCCTTGAAATAAAGCACAAGACGAAACAAAACAGGTGCTTGCCACCTCCCCGTCACCTACCTCTTTAATTTCGGTCACCTCTCTAGCAGCTTCTTCAGCATCAACAGGCTTGGCAGTGGGTGCTTCTGCCTTTCCTGTGTCATCGGTGTCCTCGTAGTAGGGATATTCATAATAATAGGTGTCACTTTCTCCATCCCCCTCAGTGTACTGCAAAGGAACCACAGCAAGAAACAAGGTGAAGGCAGACAACTCCTTAAGTGAGTTCCTTGCCAGCTGTTGCTAGGCCATGTGAATTTTATATTCAAATGTACAGTGCCTTTGAAATTGTCTTTCCACTGGCATCTGCGACAGTGAAGCACAGGGAAAACGAACACAAAAGGATCATGAGTAAAGAAGGCTAAAGTTTACAGACATCTGAGATCTGATGAAAGGCTGCATCCAAATTTCCACAAAAGAATGGGGGGAAGGAATTATTTTTAAGCCAGCTTTATTCACTAACCTGTTTGTAACACATTTAGCTTTCTAATTTGACCAAGTACGAGATGATGGTTTTCTCCCTCTATCCTCACTGGCTGCTTTGCTCCGTGTGCTACTCTATACTCATCTGAATGTAAATCCCATAGCACCTGTCCATATACTGCGGTGGGGACTGCCTCTTGATTCAAGATACCAGAGATCCTAGCTGACTTCCTGAACCTGATGCTCCCACACTGGGCCACCAAACCATTGGAGGTGACCCTGACTAACGGTTCTGGACCATTTAACAGACTAAAACGATAAAAACGACACGTCAAAAGATGTAAATTCCCTAGAGACGCAGTTGAGAAAGGATCATCATTTGGATTACTGTGGGTCATATTATTGCCTTAGATGTGTACAGCAAAAAACTCCCATGCACCTTAGGAGAGAAGGCTCTAAAGTTTCATTTAAGCTTTGCAATCATTAATAGAGTGTCTTCTAAAACAATCCTGATAAAACATAGGTTAGCTGAGATGTAATGGCCTTGATCAGAGTGGTCCTAATAATATTTCTGGGTCTGACCCCCGCTGTCACTCACAGAAGCTGCACAAAATAAAAATTAACAAAAGGCGACTCCTGGTTTTGCAGCCTGGCAAAGGCAAATACAGCGGCCACTCCTGCATGCGCGACCCCTTCAGGCACCATCACTCACAAATGCACGTTGAAAATCAGTCTTTTAAGAGACACTGATGCCTCATGCAAAACTCTGAGAACTGAACACGCAGATTCAGTTATGCTTGCATATTGCAGAGTATTGAGCAACACATTCAGACAAGATAGGCCTGCCCACACAAATATAGTGTGAGCAATTGCATGGATTAATTTTATGTCCAAATGGCTGTCTAGGTGCATTTGTATGTGCAAATTACCCATTCTGGGCAACATCCCCATTCTCCGGAAGCCAGAGTGTTGCCATTGACTTCAGTGGAGCCAGAGTTTCATTTCTCATGTACAGATTAGACAAATATTTTGCAAACGCATTTGTACTGCTAAGTATTTTTTAAATTTGGGTCATATAGACCTTGGTTCTGGAAGCTAATTAAGCACATGCCTAATTTTAAGCACGTGAGTAGTTCCACTGAAGTCAATGGATCTACTCCTATGCTTGAAGTAATTAAGCGCCTTCCATATTTCTTATCCTTTACCCTTTCTTTCTACTGATATTTGCTTTCTACCAGGTTCTTGCTTTTTCAGTGTTCATCAGCTCCTGTGATATTCTGCCTACAGTATACCTGGGGCATAATTTTTGTTTTTTTGAGAAATTTGTGACTAAAGAATAATAATCTCTTATATTCCTGTGGCATATTCTTCCCTGAAAGATGCCAATATGCTTTGCAGACTGCATAAAATCCTTTCAGCCACCACTGAAATGCAGCTGCTTCTGAGGTAGACGTTGGCAGCTGTTTAACATGTAATTTCATTTAAGTTTTGGGGGAAGTTAAGGAGGTGGAATGAATTTACCCAAACTGGAATTTGGCCAGTACACCAGAGTTAACACTCATGCTGAAAAGTACATAGGGATTTTCAATAACTCAAAAGTAGTCAGAACCTCCTGTTTTGTGTCAGATGGGGGAAAAGCGACTTGAGACAAATGAGCTCTTAAAGAAGCAATGTTTCTGTTTTCATGCATATATCTGTAGTAATACAGAGTAAGCAGCCTGTAGTAGAAATGACTTGTAAAATACGACAGTTTCAGAGTTTTCCATAAGGCGTCGGCCATTTTTTTAAATGAAATACAAACAAAGCTTTTTGTTACAGTTGCGTGAGACAAATTCCTAACCCAGTACACTGATTTTATTGGTATTTAAAGGCCATTCTTGTATAAAATTCCATAGAGTAACATGGCCCTTCCAAGACAAGCCCTTTGCAGCTAGTTGAGCAACTGGGTCCAAAAATAGGTTTATTTCCCTACCATCCTCCCAGATTTTAACCACAATGGAGTCTATTTGCTTGTACTTATTTATTGTTTCCACTTCTTTAGAGCACATTAATTGTAAAAAAAGAAATGAGCCTTTATGTTTCTCTAGACAGAAGCAGGGTATTGAGGGTGATCTAATGTCCAGGGAAGTCAATGGAAAGATTCCTTTTGGCTTTAATGTGAGTTGGATCAGACATAGGTATGTGACTAAACCAAGGGTTTTGTACATGCATATGAGCGTAAGTGAGGCTGAGATTTTCAAAAATGATTCTGGGTGCCAAACTTGAAACACCTTCAAAGAGCCTAATTTTCAGAGGGTAGATGTCAGCAGTATCTGGAAATCAGCCCCTTTAAGAGGTCTCAAGACCCCCTCTCCCCAAAAAAAGAACATAAGAGGAATCCATAGTCACTAGTCACTATTGAAAAATCTTGGTCTCACCCAGGGGAGGGCAAACAATGGCCCGGGGGCCGCATCTGGCCCTCAAGCTCCAGCCTGGGAGCGGGGTCGGGGTCTTGCCCCACTCCACGCAGCTCCCAGAAGCAGGGGCATGTCCCGCCTCCAGCTCCTAAGCGTAGGGGCAGCCAAGGGGCTCCGCACGTTGCCCCCGCCCCAAGCGCCGCCCCCGCAAATCCCATTGGCCAAAAACTGTGACCAATGGGAGCTGCAGGGGCAGCACCTGCGGACAGGGGAGCACACAGAGCCACCTGGCCGTGCCTCCATGTAGGAGCTGGAGGGGGGACATGTCGCTGCTTCTGGGAGCTGCTTGAGATAAGCGCCGCCTGGAGCCCGCACCCCAATCCGCTCCTGCACCCCAACCCCCTGCCCCAGCCCTGATCCCCCTCTCGCCCTCTGAACCCCTGGGTCCCAGCCCCGAGCACCCTCCTGCACCCCCAACCCCTCATCCCCAGCCCCACCCCAGAGCCTGCACCCCTAGCCAGAGCCCTCATCCCCTCCCGCACCCCTAGCCCCAATTTTGTGAGTGTTCACGGCCCGACATACAATTTCCACACCCAGATGTGGCCCTCAGGACAAAAAGTTTGCCCACCCCGGTCTAACCCTTTCTAGTGATTCTCTTAACTAGGCACAGCTGAATGTTTATCCAAGAACTCAAGGGATAATTATAGGTCTGCTTAGAACATTTTGGTCAAATGAAATTTCAACCAAAAACAAAAAAACAAAACAGATTTTTTTCCACGGTTTTTGACCTCTCCTAATAGCTGACGTTTCAAAAATCAGTTGATCTTATTAAAACTATTGACCTGAAACATCTGTTGGCATTTAGAAAGTGATATATGTATGTTATTATATTCAGTTGCAATAGTTAGTGAGGGCCCAATTTTTAAACTTGCGCTGCTACACAGTAGGGTAACCCACTCTGCTTCCTATGGGCACCTGAGCACTCAAATACTCGGGGTTTGTCTACATGGCGATTTAGTGCGCAGTCAGCCAGCGTGTAAATCTACAGCATACAAGCTTTTAGTGCATGGTAGCGTAATTAACCTGACCAGTTACTTTGCTTTGCGGCAAGCTAATGCATTGTAGAGTCACACCAGGGCTTCTATATCACCGTGTAGACAAGCCCTCATTTCACACTCTGGGAAAACAAGGAGCAGAAAAATGAAGTGATACACTGAAAGTCACACAGCGAATCAGCAACAAAGCTGGGATTAGAACCTACAATTCTTGAGATCTAGCCCTGTACCTTATCCACTAAACCACACTGACATTGTGGTTTTAAAGGTTGTTCCAAGCACTCACATGTAGCATTGGGTGCCTGGTCTTGTAAACTGGATTCAATCTCTTAAAGAAAAAAATTATCAAGGTTACAAGGCCAGAAAGTTGACCTACCTTGGCAGGGTTTCATCTTCCATGCTCCAGGATCCCTTCCACTGTTTTATTATGCAACAGATTTTTGCAACCACACGGGGTGGGGAAAACAATTCAAGACAAGCCAGTGACTTATTGAGAGACTCACAGCAAAATGAAACGGAAGTTAAATAAGAAACAGTGCACACATGCTATCTCAGTTAATAGCCACAGTGCATTTGCTTATTTACGGCTAGTCTGCTCCCCAATTATTATTATTTATTTCCCTTGCAGTTGTCACTGGAACCCTTTGCTTGCTTTTCATTACTCTTACATTTCCTGGTTTCCTTATCGTCTCTTCCCTCTTTGATCACGACTGCTTCTGCCCTGACCACTGTTGGCTTGTGTTCCTCCTCCTTCTCCTGAACAAATTCCCTCTACAGAGGGTGATGCATTGGTACCCATCCTGGGTGTCCCTCGTGGGACCATTAAGCAGTTACCCCAAAGGTTTCAGGCATGCACAAGTGGACGTTCTTCCTTTCTACTTACGTATTCATCTTGGTTCGGGTCCTGAGACTGGGGGGTGTCAGGAATGGCTGTGTCACAGTCAGGGCTGTAGTGTTCACAATAATCATAGGCTGCCCTGGGGTCTGCCACAACCAGGAGCTGCTGGATGTCCCCCTGGGGGAATCAAAACAAGAAAGAAGTCCCACATCAATCAAAGAGTCAGAGTTTAAGACGAGAAGGTGCTATTGGATCAACTAGTGTGACCTCCTGTATAGTGCAGGTCACCGCCACCACCCGCACAGTAACCCCAACAACCAAAATTACATTGACATATTACAGCCCTCAGGAGGCTAAACTACTCTGTGCCACAGGCAGAGAATAGGAGGGCCCTTGCAGTGGCAGGGAATAAGGTGAGATACACCCAGATAATCCTAGCAAGTAATCCGTGCCCCATGCGGCAGAGGAAGGCAAAAAAACAAAACAGCCTATCTGACCAGGAGGAAAATTCCTTCCCAATCCTGAATAAGGTGACCAGACAGACCCTGAGCATATGAGCAAGGCCCACCAGCCGAGGAAGAGAATTCCCATCCAGTGCCCCATCTTCAGTTATGGCCATCTCTGATGCTTCCGAGGAAGGAGACAGAAAACCTCAGAATACACCGGGGGGGGGGAATCCCTTCTTGACCCCTACAGGTGACCAGCTGAAGCCCGAAGCATGAGACAACAAAGACACATGTAGTCATAGTACCACAGGCCCAAAGACTGAAGTCTGTACTCAGTCCTTATGCAGACAAAAGACCCAATTATGGACCAAGGAATTAGAGAAGGAAGAGTCCTATTAGGCTGTCTAGTCTCCCCCACTCAAGTAAGGTAGGATTGTTCAGGAACTTGGTCTGAGACAAGTCAGCCAGCAAAACCCATTATCCTTGGGTGCACATCGAGTATCTGCTTTAGCCCTCCCTGCTTACAAGGGTGTGAAGTGACTGTGCTTCGCTTGTCATTCCCAGGTGCATTATCACAAGAAGATATTGCATCTAGAGAGAGATCACAACCTCGGCATCTCCTGGACAGCCTCATCCAGTTTGGTGCTGCTGATAGCCCTTGACAATGACATCCACAAGACAGGTACCATACAGACAAGGGAGATGCAAGCTTCCCTGTCAAAGGGCTCCCCGTGCCTTGGATGAGGAGTGTCCTAGGTAAATGACTTCCTTCGCAACCCAGTTTGGATCTAATCACATGTCGCTCATCCAGCTGGACTTGTGAGTCATCCATGGATTTCTAAACAGACTACCATTTATTTCCAGTTTATTTCTACATTATCACCGCTCCACTAGGAACAGAAACACCGACATCCGAAAAAATGTCACAAGTTAGACTTGGCCTGTTTGAAATCAGGCACCTTGCAGGTTTGTTAGGAATCATGTCTGCTTTAAGGACCATTCAGCCCATAATGAACCAGGCACACAATATCCGTAGCCTAAAAATGAGCTCCAAACATTCTTTTATAAAGCGCCACAGTTTTACTTTGAAACACAGAGCAAGAGTTTAATCAATAGACAGATGCTTTGTTACTCGGATGATTAGAACTGATTTTTTGTACATTAGGGAAAGAGGGTTTATTTAATAACAGACAACATTGTTAAAGCTGCAGAAAAAGAGAGCCTTACCAAAAAAAAACCTGGGCGGATGATGCGGTCCTGTAATGGGAACCAGAAGCCTGGGATGGAGTCCAGCCAGGACGTCTGAAAACCCCTAGGAAAACTGGAACATGTTTTTAAACACCGGGGGCCAGATCTGCTTTTGTGAATGCAGACTGAACCCTCTGCGTTCCCAGGAGCAGCTGTGCCAGAGGAGGAACGCAAACCCGCCAAGGAAACACAGGTGGTGACAAGCACACGCACGCCCGCTCTGCAGCCACCATAGGCTCCTCCAGAAGGACACAGCTTAAATTTCTGGCAGGGCTCCACAGGAGATGAGCCAACAGAGAGCTCTCTGGGAGATATGCTGATTCTATGCATCTGCTGGCTGGTCAAGCCCCACCCTACCCTAATTTGACATTGCCCCAGGCCTGCAGCCCCATCCCCCTGACTTTCCAGCAAAGGGGGAACAGATCCATTTCCGTGTCTCTCCTCATCGGAGTGTGCGAGCAGCTCTCAAACACTCACACACGTATCCTCATCACTAGCGCTCGTTTACGTTGGTCATCATTCGTAACCTTTTTTCTGATAAAACCTTTTCTTAAAAAAATGAACATTTTTTTGTTTATCAACCACATTTCCTGAATTTTCAATGAGACAATATACATACGGTTTTCCAACGTGAATTTTTTTTCTTTTTCTCTCACTTCCCTCACTCACTCTCTCACTTGCCCCCCTCTTATTCCCCACCCTCTTCTACTTTGGTGAATAAATGTTTGAAGTGTTCTGCTATTTTGCCAGAATGTTGGGGCTTGTTTTGCCCTCCTTTTTCAGAGGCAAACACTGTTACCTGTTTTCATCCAGCTCTATTCATAACATTACTGTCAGGAAGGGAATATTACCCCCATTTTACTGATGGGGAACAGAGGCACTGAATGAGCAAAGTCGGTTGGCCAAGGTTACACAGGGAGTCAGCGGCAGAGCCAAGAACAGAAGCCACATCTTCTGCTTCCCACTCCAGTGCCTTAACCACAAAACCTCCCTCCCTGCCTCCCTTCTCAGTCACAGTGGAACCTGGGGAAGCCCCCACCCCGCTGAATCAGGCCCATAAATGACCATTACTTTAATTTTTTAATCCTTTTGCACTTCATTCAGCTTGGCTGTTACAACTGGTTCCCATGCACTGCCATAAGGCTTTGGGTTTGGGTTTCTAACATTGCCCGGGAAAGTTTATATAAATAAATTATTATTGATTGTTGTTAATAATAAACTAGCAACAAAACCCAGACTTGATGTTCTTCTACAAGAGGCAGGGAAGGAAAGTTGAAAGCTATTCCTTTCTGATAAGCATGGATTTACACCTCAAGGGGGGCTGATAGTTCCAAGTCACTTATCGAATACAGGCTAAATTCTCCTTCCCCTAGAGACAGATAAAGCAAAGGAGGTAACCTCAGCAGGGTTCGCCAGCTAAGTACACTCCAGTAGGTTAAGCAGAGCAGAGTTCGTTAAGGCTCACTCTGCTTTTAGTCTGAGTGGCATAGGAATGCTGAGCTAAGTATGGAGAGGAACCCTGGCTAATATCCTCAGCTGTTTTTCCACAGCCAAAGGGAGGTTTAAAGTCATTTCTTTAGTCTGACGAATAAAGGGGATCTGCTGCCAGTTTTCCTGTAGATGCATTAATGGGCCAAAGTCAGAAATGAATCTAAGCTGATGTAACTTGCACCTTCTTCGCGTCCTCTCAGCACATAATGTATACCAGATCAGACTCCTCTGAAGTCAGACTCAGGTTCAGAGTCTAAGGGAATCTCTGAGTCTAGACTGGTGTAATTAACACGCTGAAGGGGCCAGAAGGAGGTGTCAGCTTTGCCAACCTAAACTCCTTTAGAATTCACTGTGTCTGTTCCGTCTCAAACCCAATCATCTTTTGCCCAATTCTCACTTTTCCCTTGTTGTTGGTACTGGATCCTGCTCCCGGCTCTGCTGACCTCTCCTCCGTGACCTTATTTTTCGGTCCAATGGCTGTAGTGTTCAACTGTGTGAAGCCAGAGGGAAATTCCATGTGACAATATTGTGGGAGGCATCGGAGTGCTGGGACACTAACCAGACCTCAAGTGCACCAGGATGGGCGGAACAGCCCAATTGTGGGGAAGGGGAGAGAGTCCCAAGAGGTTCCTGGGTATCTCATCTTTCTCTCTGCTTTGCAAGTGACGACGGCAAGGCTTTAACGGAGCCCCCCACGTTCACACTCATAAAAGGCAGACAGAACGAAAACCTTGTTAGCAGGAATCCCAGTCAATTGACCTCATCCCTCAGTGCCAAACAATAAAATGGGCTAATTTAGCCTGTAATAAAAAAGGAGCTGGGTTTCACAAAAGATGCACATAGCTCGGCTGTCAGGAGCCCTGTTTCTTTGATTTAAGAAGCTGACTTTAACTGGAGCAAGCCGTGCTGGGAAGCTCAGAGGCCCTTTGTGTCCTCTCAAGTGTGTTGCCGCTAATAAATATTGCGGAGAGAGCTACCTCCCCCACCTTATTGCCAGCCAGCTCTGCTCCCATTCCTCTCGCCGCTCTGAAGAGTCAATTTGTTTGGCTGTTCCGGTTGCACAGAATAGCCAAACCTCTTCTCTTTCCGTGTCAGTATCCGCTTTCTTCAACAGGAGCAGTGATAATGAAGATGCCACGGGTTAACTTTGTGTGCCGGAGCCTAAAACTTTCTACCTCTTCTGCAGGATGCGTAACTTACATTTGTGCTGGAATGCTGCTGAAGGGGTAACGATGGGTAAAAAAAATTCAAAAGTAACGTAGGAGCCAAAGTGCTATTTTCAAAAGTGACTTAGGCACATAGCCTAAATCTCAGTGAAAGTCAGTGGGACTTAGGCCCCTCTGGGCTATATTTACAAAAGTATTCAGGCCCCTAAAGACGGAGATAGGTGCTACTGGGATTATCAAAAGCCTCTATGCAGGTTAGACACCTTATTCCCATTGAAAGACAGGGGTACTTTTGTAAATCCTATTAGACATCTCTTTGCATCTTTAGGCACCTGAAAACCTTTGAAAATCTGGCCATAAGTGACAATTAAAAAATGGGTCCTAAATGATTTAGGTGATTTTGAAAGTTGTATCCGAGAGCAGTAACATGTGAAAAGCCCAATCTGATCACAACAGTGAAGTAAGTGCTAAGTAAGTGCCACCTGGCCCCACTGGCATTCTTTATTTCTGCACTAAACAGGGACAGCATTGGTAGCTGCAGTGCCCATACCACTCCCTCGATGTCCTGGAAGGAAGGCTAGTTCTAGGGGTATAAAGGTAAATCAGTCTCCAGGGTTCCTTCAGCTTTTTGTCTTTGATGAGATTCCCAACAAGGATGCCAGTTAGCGCCAACTGCAGCTGTGTCTTTTCTGGTGTGGTTTCTTCTTTGCTACGAAATGGATTGACTCCACCAAACGTAAGACCCAATAGCAGTCATGGTGACAGATGTTTAATTTCGCCATTTTGACAAAATTTTGAATTTAAAGAGGAAAAAAGAGTCAACTTC